GGAGGGACGTCATCAAGAGGGACCACAGCAGAAGATGCAGTGGATCGGAACAAGTGGCGACGTGTAATAAGAACAGCGGACCCTGCGACGGCGCTAACGCTAGGGAGAAGAAGAAGAAGAGAAGTCGACTGTTCATAAGGATCAGCACTTGCGCCAGTACCACGGTCTCGCAGTGAACATATTGGTGCTGAAGTGCGCAGTCAAATGTAAACTACAACGGAGCCTCAACTTAGTGCTAGGGAACGCACACAGGTTCAACGTTTGGTTAAGCTGTCGTTTGGTTTGGTACTACCTCTTGGCTCTCCTTCCCCATCAAGCTGTCGAGCGGTGGGGGGGGGTGGAGGAGCACGTATAAAGTACGAGACAGGAAAAACCACAAAAGTCAGCAACCTCTCTAAGAACGTCAGAAGGGAAATACAACCCAGCCCTCCCAGCAACGAGCAAATACGACCTCTAACTGTGGGAAATTCCAATGACGACGTGCTCTGGCGCCAAATGACTTCGAATATGAATGTGGTGTCCTTCCGGAGCGTATCTTATCGCTCGTGTCGTAGCCCATGAATTTACAAAAATGCTCCCTCAAAGAGAATAGCATTGATATCAGCGTCATATAGGACAGAAAAATTACCGTGTTACGTATGGGACCGTATTGGCAAGCCCATCTGTGTATTGAACAAGGTATGCCTTTCAATTCAGTGACGAGAAACGGATATGCATTACACCCAACATATCGGCATGCCATACTTGGATAAATAATCAAGTACAATGGATTGAGCAAGGGCTCAGTTACAGGTAAGAGTTGGGTTGCTCCCTCGTCCTTCAAACTTAGCAAATATATTTTTTATCAGGTCAAATGAGCGAATATGCGTTAGCCAATTCATATGGATAATGAAATCACTTGTGTATGCTAATCTCCTCATGATTAGCGCCCAAATTCTCATTGAACGTAGGAATATAGGACCTACTCCAAATGGAATAGCCTTTGCTTATTTCACAGCTATTGGTGAGTGCTACAGTTCTCATTGGGCACGAGATGACGAGCCCTGACTGCGAGCGCTAGTCGCTATAACATCCCATAAAGGGAATTCAAATAGTGCATATTCAGATACAGTATCAATTTTTCTGCTGAATTACTATATGAAGAACGACTGGAGAGCGTACTGGAAATCGGCCACGGTGTACACGTTTTCAAACGCTATACGGCATGAGCCACTTTCATACCTGACGGTTTTCCTCTTTACAGTACAGTTCGCCACATTTCTAAAACACTTCTATCGTTTGTATGTCAAAACATGGAGAAAGTGGTAAAAAATTGTGGGTGTGTAGTGTGTTTTTCGGCCGCGCGTTGCCCGAAATTGCTGCGTAAGCTGCGTTCATCCTATACGGCAGTGTCCACCAGCGTCTACCAGCGTCCA